CTCATTGCATTGCTCTAGCTCCTTCTCTGCTGTTGTTTCTATGGCTCGCAGCACACATAAAATGTGTATCCCAGCTCAGGACAGAATAGAAAGCTAGAATGACACTCTCCAACGAGTACCTGTCGATATTCTGCGCCTCTGAGATGAAACGTCACTGTAGCTCTAAACAAATGAACTAACGTCCTCCACAGTCCTCACTGCTGCTGTCATTCAAAAAACAAGCAGCAAAATCAGCTAAACTGTGCAAATGAGGCTATTTTTATAGCAGTCCCCAATGTCAGCAGGACGCCATGTCTGACAAGTACCACCGTCGCACAGAGGTCTATTTCTGATAGCTCACCAGCTCGGGAGAAAGTACAAAAACCAAATCGAAGCTGTAGTTTTTCAACTATCCACGAGATGGTGCAACATGCACCATCTTGTGGATTCAAACCTTGGCAGCGCGTGGAATCCACCGATCACAGGTGATCGATGGCCAATGGTCATGGTACAGAGAGAGTTACAGTCCCTGACTGATTTTTCAGACGCCGAAAATTCGAACTTGCTCCTTATTTCGGATATTGACGAGGAACCATGACTGGTCCAATTGAAATAGTAGATATTAAAAAGCAATTTTTTGGACAGTTGGCAGTCCGAAAGTTTGATTTTTCTGACTAAAATAGTTACGAGTGGCGGCCGCGAAGAGGCTGCCATCTGTAATTTTTCGCTGGATTGACCGCTCGCTTGGCTTGATTTTTCAGATGGATTGAATAGGTTTGGCAGCACTATTTTAGCACTGCCGAACCAGCCACTAGGCGCGCATAGAGTCACCGAATAATCCCAGAGTACCGGAACTCCCAAGCTTTGTTTCACAACCAAGCCACAGCGCAGCAGTCGCGAACCCCAATATGGCACTGCCCTGTGCGTTTGAAGCGAAGCGCGTAAGGTGTAGTGTTCGTTCTCGTGTAAGCTCTTCAATCCACGTCCCTGGCGTGTTGCGACACTGGTTTGTTTTCATTAAAGTTCTTTCCTTCATTCCGAGCGGTGCGCGACTTGCTCCTCACTGTCTCGTCTCTCGCCTCGAAACACACTGAGGTTGAGTGTTAGGCTCAGTGTCTGAGGCATAGAGTTTGAAACGCAGCACCAGTGCAATCGGAGCGAACAAACGAGCCAGCAATCTCCTTTGCAAAACAGATTAGCAGCTACTTGATATAAAAAAAAAAACCTTGAGAAAATCAACGCACCTTTTCTTCGTTCCTAACTCATCGATGCCCAAAACTCAACACCCGTGCATATTAAAGCCCCTCAATGTGTTTTCGTTTGTCTTGCAAGTACAATCAAATACACCAGTGCACGAGGCCCGTGTCTCGAGCAGCCCTTGGAAGCAAATGGCAGCGGAGCACCCGCCATTTGCACGTGTCTTGCGCATTTCCACAACAATGGTTGGCGGTACTTATAGTCGTTTTGACGCGGAAACGTTTTACAGACTTTTTTGTTGTTTTGGGCCGATCCACAAAATGGCTGACTGATATCTTCCGCCACGGGCTAAACCAGCCAATCAGAACTGGATTCTGCAGGATTGACTTCCGGTAAGCGGACTGAATGGAATTCGGTACTTTGGGCACATCCAGTGACTCGAGGCGTGCTAAACTATGCATTTTGTTTTTGCTACACATCATCATCATTATGTTGGTTTCTTACTTAGGTCGATTTTTAATCTCCAAACAACTTTTTGTTCTGTTTCCATGCCAGTTGCCATCCATTAAAGGGGTACTCCGAAAATGTTTTCATGGTCCCACTGAAAATTTGCTAAACACACCAACGAACATAGCTGAAATAGTATCCTAAATATAAGGTCAAAATATTTGTTTTTTTCGAAGTTAATGAATTTACAATTTTAGTCCTCACCGTGTTTTTCAAACTGAAAATCTCCTACTCGCAATGACGAAAAAGTGACGCCAGTGAATGGCATGGGTTCACTTTTTTTACTGTAGATTTTGTTCCCCACTGATTACAAACAGTTGATGGTGTCAAATTAATACTTTGGAAGCTCACTGCAGTACCCTGCACGAAACAAATGCTCGGAGATGGTTTATTTTTAGACTGCTTGCTCGACTGGCAAGCCTGCCTTCACCGACGTCACGGCACTGAAAAGTGTGGGCATATATTTGAATGTTGGTTTTAGCAACATTTTCATTTGCCGATTTCAACATAACTGTTATGAATTTCGGGATACTAAATGCTACCAGAAAGGCTAAATGCCGGGGATTCAGAAAATATAGTTTGTTGCGGTCTCTAAAACAATTGCCTGAGTGCCCCTTCAAGTGTGGAGTGAGCTGTTGATAGCTTCTAAACTTCGTACCTAGATGTCTCGCGGTTTCGTCGTTTTGCCCTGTTTCGATACATGCTTTGGACCTCATGGCCTCTTTATGCACCTCCGTCAGGCAAGGACACGACACTGAGCCAAATGCAAGCGGACATGATCACTCGCAAGCCTAACGTTACACAAGGTACTCTTGGCGACTTTTTAAAGCCCGCTTTGGCTCAATAAAGCCAAGTTTTGTAATCTGGAGATATTTCTGACTCCTTTATTATTTGGACACTTTTCAGCCCCCACAAAGTCCGAGAAATCGGTTGGCGACTGTAGTGCAGGATTTTGTATAGCCATCGGCGGCCAGCACAGGGTACACATGGATGTCAGTTTTGCGGCGGCATTCGGTTGTTACGTGTGTTCAAATGGCGAGGACGCGAGTTCCAGCAGAATGTCAACACAGTACTCGTGCGACGGCTCCCGTTACTGCAGTGCGAGAACGCAGACAGCTAAAGGCCCGTTCACACGCTTGCAACTTCTTATAGGACCGTGTGCCTTGAAACTTCTTCAAATCTCTCACGACAAGAGAAAACGGTGCGCCACCTATCAAATAGCCGTAAAACGCTCGGCAGTCCCCATTTTCCTATTTTTTGCGCACATCATTCTTTCGTGCTTGGCTTGAAAAATTTCTGTCAATGTTATAAACAACCATTTCTCACAGGTAGTACATACATTTGACCTCACCAATACTGCAAAAGCCTCCGCTGTAGTAAAATGCAGTTCCAGGGTCACCGCATAGATGGTCCCATCTTGTTCTCTCGTCGCAAGAGATTTTAAGAAGCTTTAAGACAATCGGTCCTAAAAAGTCACAAGTGTGTGAACGGGACCTTAGGTGCCAGTCATTACCACATTCTGTGTTTAAAAAAAAAAAAAAAAAAAAAAAAAAATGGAGCAGCAATGCTGCACCACCTAAAGCTATGGATGCCCACGAGAACTTTTTGCGCTTGAGGCCAAAAGAGGGTGTACGACATGTCGACGACTTCGGCCGCTGCTGCATTTATTTACGGTGCCTTGCCTCACGCATCGCTCGAATGCTATGACCTATGTGTAGCCTCCTATGTTTTAACCAGAAAATTCATAATAGTGGCCATTTACACCTTCCAGTGCCACATATCCTATTGCAGGGGTGACCAAACTGTGGCTCCCGAGCCGCATGCGGTTCTTCGCGTGTTAAAGTGCGGCTCGTAGCTCCTTCCACATCCCCCATCCCCCCCCCCCCACCACCACCACTCCCCCTCCTCCCTCCCGGTCATACGAGCACTTCCCCAAGAGAAATGGAACATGTTTTAAATCGAAACAGGTTGCGGTTTGGTAGTCTTGGTGCTACTGCCACCTTACGTACAGTTGGACTGCTTTTGACTCGGATAGATTGAAAGTAGTTTGAATTTCGTTTATTGCTTTGGACAAAAGTTTGCCCCCCCCCCCCCCCCTTTTTTTTTTGCCTTTCCTCTTCCATGCGGCTCTTGGAAGTTCTGTGGTTTTGTTTGCGGCTCTTAGGCTGGGTCGGCCTGGCCACCCCTGTTCTATTGCATGATTCAGAAAATGCATGTTTGTTCTAGCGAGGGTGCAGGAATGAAACGAAAAACTAAAAAGAACCATATTTTTGGGCAGAACAAAATCATAATCAAAACAGTATTTAATATTTTGTTCCAGAGCAAAACCAAAAAATTTTCTGAATGGTTTTCAGTCCCAGGGGAAGTGCCTGGATTTCAATATCTTCTCGTCCCCAAAGGAACCAGAAGATGCCCTTGAAGGGCTTCTCAAAAGAAGAGGCTGGCACACACCCTCACTTAATGAGTGAGCTAGGCCCACTGGACATAGCATACCTGCTCGAAATGCTAAATTCGTGGTTCTTGGATCCACATTTGTGAATCCAAGAGCCACGAATGTGTTGACGTTTTGGGAAGAACGAAAAGAACACCCAATCGGAACTGTGCATTAAAGTGCACAGTTCCGATTGGGATGTGTACCGGCCACACAGGTCAGCATGCAGCAGGCATTGTCAGCATTCAAATTTAATGGAACGGAGGTCTCGCTTTTCATTGAGCACTCTGATGACGTGCTGCTTCTGAGATCATGCTCTGTGCCACGAGCCGCTCTTTCTTGCAGTGTCCTTCACTGGGATTCTCCCGTTTTCTACTGCTACAATAAGCACACACTCGCTAGAGCTTTTAATTACGTACTTTCTGACAAAGATAAGAGTTTCATTTTCTTCTTTTAATTATGGTTCTGAATTTTCTTCACATGCAAACACATATCGTCAAAAACGTTATATACCACGATTTTTTCGTTCCGGAGAAGAACCAGAACGGAACATTTTTCTGTGGAACGAAAATAAAAAAGAACAGAACGAAAAATGGTTTGTTACGATAACCTGGTTCTAGTAGTCATAAAAACACATTCGACACATGGAAATGGGCCAGGATTTAGTTCCCCTTCGTAAACAGGCATTTTTGTAGTAAAGCATTTGTTATAAAGGCGGTTGACTGTAAATGCTATTGCATTTCAGACAACAATGCGAGGAAGGTGCACCAAGCCTGGTAAAACTGGTGACTGTGGGTCCTTACCAATGACACCGAACAAGGAAAAAGTGGCATATCGTCACGTGGACTGGAAGTGATGCAATATGCATCGATGAGACACCACTCACCCTTAGATTCGCTGAGTTTCCCACTTCGGCCAAAAGGTCCATGACGTTGAACTCGCGGCGCTCAGCACTTGAGGCCGAAGGCAGAAGTGCTCCACCGGGGCACATGATGTTCCGAATGTACTCTGGGTGTGGGTGGTGGTTGTTGTAGAAGACGGAGAGCTCGGCAGCTGCCAAGGCCAATTCAAGGGACAGGCTCTTGATGACATTGAGCGGAGGTCCAAAAGAGTGCAGAGGGAAAATGTAGCCCTTCGATGTCTCTTGCGTGTAGCCAAGCTGTTTCAGGATTGTCTTGGTACCCTGGAAAGAGTCACATTTGGTACTGGCTCCAATGTGCACGCCACAATTGTGTGACCAAGCGCATAAAGGGTCTGCCTAGAAAGTATGGCACTATTCAACAGAATGCTCAGTGTCTTAAGAATGGTTCACACATTTGCGTTTGGTTGCAACTGGGTGCGTTGCGACTCCTTACGATGAGAGGACACATTAAAACCGCCTATCGCGTCGCCATGGAATACCTGCGATTCCCGTATATTTCCCATTGATTTCGCACATCATTCTTTCAATACGGGCTCGAAAAACATGTGACAATATTATAAATGACCACTGTTCATATTTACATTTCATCTCGCAAATGCTACAAAACATACACTCTAGTGCGTGCTTTAAGATATATGTGCGGACACTGCGTAGTCACAGCTCCCAGATAAAGTCCTCTCCTCGCCTTGGTTGCAATTAGCACCACCTGAAGACTCTTCGAATACCAGCTAGTGGCTGCCTGTCGAGGGTACGGTTACCCATGCTTCTCTATGGGGGACATGTTTGTTTTTAGTCTTTTCTGGGTGTGCCGCGACATGTAGAACTTGGCACTTGCGCTATGTGTGTTGCTTAGACACAGCTTCGTCATTGGCCCTAGTCTTGTGCCTCAACTATGGCAAGAACAGCTTTATGAAAGGATTGAAGCGGCGAGATCTCCGGCGCAGTGTTCAAGCCAGTGTCCATCAAGGTCAGGGCAGACACCTCTTTGTTTTGTTTGTTTGTTTCTTTTTTTTTTTTTTTTCTAATTGCACTGTCTGGTTGGCGCGCACTCTCGGAATAGGCTATTGGAGTGCGCGCAAATAGGACTTCATCAGGTTGATTGTGTCGCAGCATCTGCCACACTGTGTGTACACACCTACCGTAAAATCCCATAAGGTCACCTTCCCCAAAAAGGTCGCCAATCCCGTTTCTCCAGCTAAATATCAGTCACATAAAAATTCCAAAACATTGCCCCCCCTCCCCCCTCCCTTTTCCCCGATACCCGGCAGATATCACGCAATGTTTGACAGGAATTATATCAATCGTGCAATCTGCGGTACTGGTACGTGTGACAAACGAGTTTTTGTCTGCGATCTGCGCGCGCAATGCGCCATAGCGAAATTCAGTTCCAGAGCCACCTCAAAGATGGCATGTCAGTGTTTTCTCTTATTGTAAGAAATCGGAAGAAAGCACAAGGCTGCACAGAGCACTCGGTTGCAACCAAACGCAAGTGTGTGAACTAGGCTTTACACCGTACTTCTGCTAGCAGTTAAAGGGCAACTCCACTCAATTCCGAAAATTTCAAGAAAATGAGGAATTTCACATTAAAAAAAGCACAAATAAAAGGCACTATGTCTATTGCTTTCTGAAAAATATGTTGTTCAATCTCACATTAAGCATGAGCAAAAATCGAAACCGAAACTTCGGCTCCATCTAGCAACATTGGCCTCGGGTCGCCAAAAACATGGCTATCACATGATACGAGATGTCATGTGGTCCTCTACGCAACGACGGGCGGGACTGAGACGGGCCGGCAGGCCACCGTTGGGGCGGGCGTGTGCCAGGCGCAAGTTTTGTTTGCACCGCACTCTTCACCACGTTTTGGTTTTTACGACGACGTCTGCACAACTGCGGCATCAGTCTGTGCACGTAGTGTGAATGAAACTCCGAGAGACAACAATCACGAACGGTGAGACGACGACGGCGGTTCTGACGCAGGAGACAGCGGTAACGGCGGGACGGCCAGATGGCTCGCAAAAAGCACGCTGTGCTGGCGCGTTATTCCAATCACATGGACACTCCTGAGCACCGAGAAAAAATGTTGCTGACATCACCCGTTACGCTTGCCCGGAGAAGTAAAGCAAACAAAAAGGGGCAAGCAAAAGTGGGAACGTTTTGCTCAATTCACCCACTAGAGTCGGCCGATTTCAGAAACCTGGCGCGTTGCAAAGTTCGCTGGACCTCTTGAGAAACATTTAGACAGAACTAGCTCGTAATATTTTATGTGCGGTCTTTCTAAGTGATACTGAAGAGGAGTGCATTGTTTTTCAAAAAACAAAAGTGAAGCGAAGTTGCCCTTTAATGCTTATAGTAGTTGTAGGATAGCGGGGTACTACTTGGGAAGGTTGTCAAAAGCCCTACTGCCCATTAAGTCTGACATGACCTTCAAGCAAATGTAAGACAAAATCCTTTATACAAAAGATGTGGCACGTGTGCAATTTGAAAAATACCCAACAGGTTGAATACTATCTAAAAGTCACTTCTTATAAAAATTATGCCACACTCTGAGATGTCAGGTGTACCCAAATTACTAGGAGTGCTATTTTTACGGCATGCGTTCCTACATGCAAGGTACCGAAAGTAAAGTTTTTAATAAAAGGCAGGGACACCACTAAATTAGATTAAGTAAGCCACTGTGGGCTCACAGGCACCCCCTGAGCCCCAATGCCCTCGTCAACAAATTACTCGCATTTCCACTACGTTCGGGAGAGTACATTAGCCGTGCGACCTTCTAAGCCAGCCTTTCCTGCATGAATAGGTCAACTTACTTCTGTCCCACTTGTAGTACACTCAGTTAAGAAGCACCAGCACCACGTGCAAAAGCAGGCTAAGGTACAGTTGTAAACGAAACCAATGAAGCCACGGGGGCGTATGGCCTCAGTCTATGCAAGTGCATCATGCCGTTGGCCAGTTGCAAGATGAGCGGCTATCAACATCTGGCTGTTAGCAACATAGCTGAGCACAGTGCTGTCAACAGCCACTAAGTGAAAAAGCCAAGCGTTTACAGCTGCTAACACTATCGACATTGAGTGCATCCCTGCTGCATAAAACCATTTTCCTAAAAGGACCTTCATACTTTATTTCCTCATCCCTACCACAGAAAACCTCTGAAACATAGATCCCAACACCGTCCCCTTGTGCGACTTGATGAAAAGTACACAATTATTTTACCTTAAAACTCACACTTGCACATCACTAATGTCACACTGGACGCAGACAACGGTACAAATCAGGTATGCATACTATGGCCGAGGTCTGAAACAGACCCAGAAAGGGTGCAGGCCGACACCAATCGGTGACTGGCACTGGCGACATGATGCACTTGAGAAGGACAGCATTTCAGCAGTCTTGCAGCAGACCGTGTAGAGCAACGGCCTCAAGCATGCGGCCCACAGCTCGCTGAGACGCGGCCTCCAAGCATCAAGTGGGTGCTTGCCTTCGTTCCTATGTATCATGCGCTATATGGCTCATAAATATTTGCTCAATGTCGTTGATTCCTTTAAGTTCTAAACGCTCTGCTCTTATAACACATGCTCACCTACTTTTGTCCATTCCCTTTTCTTTTGGACCGAGTATTGTTTTGTCTTAATATCTGCTTCTCAGCTCTTTCTCCTGTCACTCGCCTGTACGATGATCCCACTACAATGCTATAAGCACAAGCTCTTCGGGACAAACCTCAGCTGCACAAACTCCTGCTCAGCAGGAGCAACTTCCAAAGCTAAAGCTATAAACCCTGCTTTTTAGCTGTCAAAAAAACAAAAAACATTAAAACACAAAAAATTGTTTTATAACACTGCTATAAAAAAATTCAGGCAAACAAAAATTCTAAAAAAAAAAGTTTTTTTTTTTTTTGTTGTTGTTTTTCTCAGTATATACTAAATTTAAATACTTCCCGAGAGAACTGAGTGATAGGGCAGCGACAGCGTGCTTGCTCTCTTGTCCTATTTAAAAATGCAACTATATTAAAGCGGCACGGTGTCATTTCAAATCTTATCTTGTCAACAGGGGTGGAACTCATGAAATGTATTTGGGAGCAGCCACGGGAGCAGTTCTAACCGCTGTTTTGGAGCAGGTTGGGAGCAGCTAAAACTACATTCTGGAGCAGGCTAGGAGCAGCTCAGATCAGTTTTCATTGCACTTCTGCTTGTGTCTTAGACGAGCACGGGAGCAATTTCAATAGTGCTTAGCAGCACAGATGAACATGAGTGGTTAGGAACCTAGGTAGATGGGATAACAGTGTAGCAGATGCGAAAACTTGAAACTTCGTGAGCCTTAATCAGAACCAAAATGCAAGTACCATATATTTCTGAAGATGGTATCCTTGATATTTTCTGAGTGGCTTTCAGCTGCTCAAAATGCAAACCAACACTGCTTATCGCACATCTCACGTGCTCGACATAGTAATTATATGTGCGAACCACGTGACGTGCGTAAGCAATGGACGTGCTGTTGCGTGGAGGAACAGGGACACAAATTTCAAGTTTATCCTATTGTGCAACTCAATATCGAAGCAGCAGACTACGATTAACAGACTTATCGTATTCAAAGCGATTATAAGGAGCAAGGTTAAAGGACGCCGAGCAGATCTACCCCTCGCCTGAGAGCTGCTGGCCGACAAGGTTTCGGATCGGACCGCGTTTCAGTTCTATCAAATCACAATTTATCTTGCCGGAATGCGGTTCCAACTTCCAACGATGAAGTACTGAAAGGAATCTTTTGCTTATTTGTTTTCAACTGCGCTCACGTACGGATCCTGGGCCGCAGAGCCTCAGGCAATCTGCCGCTTAACGACTCGACCTCACCTTGGCCTACTTGCTTAACCGCTGATGGTTGAAGAATAGCAATCCAATCGCAACCCCGAGTTTTTCCGCGCGCTTCCGACTCGGAATACACACGGAGAATAAACAGAACAAAGGATTGCAAGGCCGACCAAGCTAAACGCGCTTATTGTTGCCAATCGAGTCCATAGAAACCGAAACCAAGACAAAATACAATTTGTTTGGCGCACGTTGTGCGATTTGATGCATAATGGCGCAAGGTATTGGCTGTGGTGCAGTTTCCGCAAAATGGCGCAGGATGGCGCAGACAAATGCGTCTGGCGCAAAATGGCGCAAATGGCGCAGCCGTTCCACCCCTGTGTCAAGGAAGGGCCCAAAGTAATCACATTAGGAAATCAAAGTTAAAGATGTCACTACTAAAACGGCGAGTTTGCAAAAAGTCACTTCTCTAGTGCTGCTGAGAGACTCGCCTAGTTTGCAACACAAAAACAGGTTGCTGGTTTTTTGTTTTTGTTTTTTAATTTTATAATTTTTTTGCCTTCATGCCCTACATTGGCCCTCGAGCTTTCAGGGGTGGGCTATCGACACCCCCCCCCAATGAGTCTGAAACCCCTGGTGTAGAGGGTGCATGCTGGCACAGCTCCAGAGGAAGTGGTTGTAAGTAGAAATAAGACATTTCAAAACTGGGAGTATATGTACTTATCACCCTCATCACCCCAAGTGAAACAATCAAATTTTGCTTGCTAATATCTGTAGTAACAAACTTCATTGAGGCAACCAAACGTTTTTCTGCAAGAATACAGGGGGAAGGGGCTTATTTGCTATCGTTCAAAAAGTCCTCTAGTCAGCTAAAAGTTAAGAATGCAACAAAAGCTCCGCCTCCAGCACAACCTCCCTCCCTTCGGAAACACTTTGGGGTCTTGTGAGCATGCCCAGCCAAAGCACAACAGAGAGTGACGAGTGTTTGCTGGAGGCAAACCTTCTGGCACATTCTCAACTTGTATCCGACTGCTACAAAGAGACAAGTCTTAGAACTCAAGCACTGTCACCAACATTGTGCCTCTGCTAGAAAGTAGACAGTTCTTTGGCACCGGTCATAGACCGTTCAGCGGTTAAAACGGTTAACTTTATTTCCTGGTTTACCGACACATGGGACAATGTTCCAGTATGTGTAGTGTCACAGTCAGCTCAAGGCGGTGTGGTGCATTCTGTGAAACTTTGGAAAACAGGACGATGAACGCGTCCAAATATGAATGTTCCCAAAGGGTGTGCAGGTGGCAGGTCACCCGAGAGAAAACTGTTCACAAGGGCATGCGGTCTCATCTCGCACCCGGGTTGCGCCCCAACATGGCGACACCCCACAGCAAGCATAAGCTAGGTCTCGACGGGAATGCTGGGAACATGTGGCTCCCACAAACCTGATATGGGAACTAATTAGCAACATGCTTCCGTATTAAATGTTTCAGATTTCCATTTAACGACTTTGTAGTTATCAGTAGATAAATCAATTATTCGGGTTTAAAAGCTAGCACAACCAACAACATTGTCTAACAGTCAGCAAATGCTTACATCCATTCGGGTCCACTTTTGCGGGGCACCAGCCTTCATGAAGGGTATCTTGTTCCAGTGCTTGTACCGTTCCTTTGTGGGCTTGAGCATCTCTTTGGCATATTTTGCAAGGATCCTCAGACAGTCGGAGATCTCCATCAGGCTCATACCATTCTGAAAAGTCAAGGAATGATGTTAAGGTCAAGTAAAAACCTAACAGTTTAACAAAAAAAAAATTCTTCAGTTTTTTCTGTTCGAATAGGGCCTTAAATATTGGGACAATTTAAAATGTGCCATTCTTTGGGTCCATTTCACCTGCAACATGGTGGTCTAAAATAGTATCTCATCATCACTTTTCCCGATGACGGCTGCATCTTCACTTTTTTGGTAGTGGTGAATCTGCACGATTCTGTTGTTCACATTGTTCTTTTGTTTCGGGTCCTAATGGTATGCCTAACACTTATTCATGATGACTAGGCCGGCGGTTCTCAACAAGTGAATTTTCGCAGACCTCTTGTGGATCGGCGGAGATAAGGGGGACCCCGTTCATGGTGAGGGAAAGGTACAGGTTAATTACAATAATGATTTAATAAATGAATTCAAATAAGGGCTAGTGTGAAGTATACTTCTCTCATTGGCATGCACACGAGAAAACTCACCCAAACATTGGAATGTTTCTTCTCAATCTGAGAAAAACACAACTTTTATCTTCGAGCTTGACTGCTGAGGCATGGCATCGCAGACCCCTAAAATGCCTTCGCGAACCCCAAAGGCTCTGCGGACCCCCATTTGAGAACCACTGTACTAGGCAATCAAAGAATTCATCAGGGAGAGCTTGGCAAAGTGGTAACATTTCTATAACAGATTCCTTTGGGTGCTTTTTCCACGGAAGTGGGCAATCAAGGGAACCCAGCAAGCTGCGACCTTCATTTTATGCAAGTCATTGTGCATTGTGCGGGGAACGTTTTGAATGTGCTGATGACGTTGCCTGCGCAATGCACATGCATTTTGTCAGAAAAATTGCACCACCACAATCTTACAGTTCATAGTCTTTTTGTACTTGTATTTCACAGGACAGTGCACTGATGCCTAGGCCACTCGGCTGTTGGGAGGCACTTAAATAGAAATACCTACCTTCCTAAACTGTGCCCGAAATATTGATTAAACTGGGCATCAAAGTTTTGTCATCTGGGAGCCAGCATAACTTGCTAGTTTCATAGGCGATGAGCAACATGGAAAACCTTGGTTTACATTCCTTTTTACTTTTTCTGTGCAAAGGTTTGTTTGCACTATACTATTTTATTTTATTGTGGTGTCACAGGACCTTACATCGAAAGTCACTGAAACACCTGTGCTTCGAATGAAGCGTGGCGACCAATACAAGAAGTACCTTAGCATGCAATATACGACCAAGGATGTCCCAGTGACTTATAACGTAAGAAAATGTAAGCAAAGGCTCCATTGTGAACGGGCCTTGAAGCCTGACCTACAAAAAGTTTTTTCAGCAAGGTAGGAAAATCCTTCTTGCCTCCCTTCCCATTTTCCCCTTTCCCGCTGCTATCTTGACAGCAGGGGGACTCCTTTTGTTGCTGCATGTGAAGGCTGGATAAGCTCCTGGCTTATCCAGCCCAAAAGATGCAGTAACAAAAGGACTCCCCCCCTTGCCATCAAGATAGCAGTGGAAGAGGGGGAAATGGTAAGGGTGGCAAGAAGGATTTTCCTACCTTAGGGAAAATGATTTTGTAGGTCGGACTTTAAAGGGATACTTAACAGAATTTGAAATATACCCGTCATGTTCAGAAATAGGCTGAATATGATCCACAATATCCGTAAATGACAATCACACATTTGTATTTTGAGAATGATGGCTGTATTTTTTTGTTTAAAAGGCCCACTCTGGCAAGCACTAGGAGAGCAGCCAGCGGAGAGCACGTGACATCCAGCACAATCATGACATAGTGTATCTCGGGATGAGCAAAGCTGCAGCAAGGCTGACGTCGACACGATGCCCTAGACGTTCCAGCCACCCTGTGTGAATTTTAAGTGACGGGTTAATCTTCTATAATCTTGTAGAGGGAGAATAGCGACGTCTGGGACACACAAAAGAGAGTTTGGTTGAGTGGGGAGTTCCCCCCTCCCTTCTTCCCTTGTGCTGGCCCTAGAGCTGTCGGGGCGACGTCAGGTTCAAAGCATGTATAGTTCCAGGCGAGACAGTTATCGTCACTACCTGTCAAGGTTCTTAGACGAGCATTACATATGAGGCTTTAGCGACATCCACCACATGCTCCTTGCTAATCGTTTAATTTGTTTTAAAATTTATTTTCATGTCTTTCTTAACAAGATATTGGTGATACTGCTCCTTTGAACACATATAGACCAAAAATAAGCGCCGAAATTTCGTTGTAGTATCTCTTTAAGCTTTACTGCCTTAATTACAAGTGGTACGTTCGACGGCATTGAAGTGTTTAGCACAGGCATTGTAGAAACAGCATTCAACTGTTTGGATGGATTGGATTAAACCCAAAGTGATGCTGCAACTGACTGTTACTTGTGCGCAACTCCAAAGTCAAATTAGAGGCTCTCACAATTCATGCACTGCCTGGCCTGTCTCTGGTAACTGGCCGATGATTGCTCTTGTGCCCATGGCTGCTCAAACTATTGAACGCATAGCCCAGAAGGTCTATACAAGTCCCCGGACCAACACAGTGTTTCGATCTGCTCTGACCACTTCCAGCCCGAGTGCTATGCATGAGACGTGAGTTGGCCAACACTGCCATCTCTATGAAGTTTACCCATCTGAAATGGGATGCCACGCCTTCTATCTTCGCGCTCAAACTACCATGCTTTCACTGCACAGTACGGACACGACAAGAATGTTCCTTCACAGCATGCGCGACCATGTGCAATCAACTGTGATGGGCAGATAGCGAAAATGAGTCAACGTCATCTCAAGAGCTCTATTCAAATGCTGCATGTATGCATTATAATGCAACTAAATGCAAAGGTGCAAGCGAGCTGGACAAGAATTACGAAAATAATCCCTGGAGAAGGGGAACAGGCGGGACAAAGGAGAAACATTTTTATTTTCGTTATTCTTGACGAGCTATCTTATATCTTTGCATTCAATTGCATTATAATCATAACTTTAAAATGCAAGCCGTTCACCCTTGTTGGTGTTGATAAAACCAGTTTGCTCTACTGACGTCTAACTCCTGGATAGCTGTTAGAGCACTCCACTGGAAATGGAGAGGTCCCTGGTTCAATACCAAGACCAGGCGGATTTTTTCGGTAGCGCACCAGTCACCTAGCTGTGTTTGGAGATTTATGTTTGTCCTTTGTCCCCCTTGTTCCCCTTCTCCAGGGATTATTTCCGTTATTATGTATGCATGCATTTTAAAATGTGCCTTTAAATATACAAAAAGATGTGCATTTATGGAGACTTCCTTGTTTCCAGCACAAAATGATGTGACGACTGGGACATATGCCACTGGATTCAATACAGCCTCGGCAGCAGATGACATTTGTGTTGTGAAGCCTGTGCCCCGTCGCATGGGGATCATGTTACAGGTCGCACAGTGGGGTTCTCCCAAGAGGTGGCAATGCAAGGTCAATGCTGCTTACTGTAGCCAAATATTTTTTTGTTTTTGTGTGTGTATGATCATATTTTAAGTGCAAATGCATGAAAAACGTTACTTTTCACGGGGCAGATGATGCAGGGCCGACTATGAGCACTTTTCAAACTGAGAATTCATTATTGAGCAGTCACCCTTTAAAATGGGCTCTGAATTATTTTGCTGTCAAAATAAGATGCGCTAATAACCACAAAAATGATTCCTCTATGAGCATACTCCATCTCACAAATGTGCACAATGCTAAAAGATGCACACGTGCAAAAGCATACCTCTGCATGACTTCTTTTTTGCAAAAAGAATTGAGCAAGGAAAATGCCCACTATTCTCAGTTTCAGCACAACTTGGCAAACAGCAAACGCTTCGGCCCCATCGAGTCAGTCAGTGTTGGAACGAGGCCTTGTGACAACATACTGTCGGGGTGAACTCCTCCTGTATGAAGCTGTCATGTGCTTTACACCGATGCTCTAATTCACTTACATGGCCTGTAGTGTTTGCCCTTTGCCAAGTTACGCTTAACTGGAATATAGAATAATGCGTTTGTGCTTTCACAGTACTGTGGAGTATAGTTGCATTGCTGTGCTTGACATATTCACTTACGCGCAAATTTGTCACAATGATCTCAGAGATGTTCAGGAATTCAAACTTCTTGATGAAGTCACAATTCATCTGCAGCATGACGTAGACGGAGTGGTCAACAGACTGTAAGGTGAGCGACTCCAGAGCAACACTCTTTGCTGTTCTGAAAAATTAAAAAAGAAAAAAACACTTTAAAAAAATCTATAGGACGAGTTTATTTTCACTCGCAGTTTTAAACACCTCCCTTTGATAACTGCTTCTGTGCGCCGGATCAGAAAAACACACAGCTAGACACATCTTATGAAACGTGCCAGAATCTGAACGCAAGACATCCCACTGAATGTTTCCCAAACTACTGGTGTTGCTTTCATCTTCTAAGGTGATCTGTTAATTCGACTGCTAGACGGTGCTTTGTTCAGGACATACGCAAGAAATTATGATTAACACTGCAATCTGCAACGTCGCGCCAATACGAAAGAGCCTCGACTGAAAAAAAAAAAAAAACAAGCACATGCATTCAAAGCAGCGTAAACGACCTAGAACGTCGCATCGCAATGCAAGAGTGCACAGGTTCGAAAGGCTTTCAAACATAGGAACCGAAGATAGAACAAACTGAACAAACCCGTCGCTATTCTAAGCGTTTTTTTTTTTTTTTTTTCTTTCCACAAAATGTTGAATGCAGTGGCGACTGAATTTGAGACAAGGGTCATTTTACTTGTGACTGTCTTTTTTTAGAAAAGACGACGTTGTCAGGACAGTCTAATGTTGATTAGCACTCCTGCAACAATGACTGTACGCAGAGCGAAGGCAAACCGTTCTATTCACTTTTTTTTTCTTTGAAAGCGTGCCCTGGGAGCCTTATTCATGCGTGTAGTTTAGCCACGCAATAGATACCGAACTCGCAAGTAGGCACACAATGGGGGGAAGGATAGAAGACAGAGCTTACCTGACGTCGCCTTTTATACTGTACCACAGCTTCAGCGGGTCGCTCGCAGATATTTTGGGTTCCGACATCGTAAAAAAAATGAGCGGTCAGTAGCACTTAAAAGGGAAACCTTTCGGGGACTGCCAACCACAGGGTCACCTAGAACCTAATGCGCTGCCTAAGAACCCTTTACAAACAGCATATCACTGTTCGGACAGCTAAAGTTTGAAGTAAACTTCGAACATTCACATTAAAACAGCATCAAGCTCACCCACGTCACGGTCCTTCGAGGCCCATGCAGCCCATGTGCCATCGTTTATTTGGACTAGCGCCCTCTGGATTCTGCGCCTTCGCGGCAGCTTTGGTAGCTTTGGTCAACGAAACAAGCACTTGCTGTCATTCAAACGTTTCTGCATTGGTACAATCTTGCTCTAGTTTCGACCCGTACCACGCATGCTATCACATCGACATTCAATCGTCAAGTTCTCTTTGTTTAGAAGAATTTCCAAAGAAAAAGAAATATCGACATTTTGGACGCCGTTGCGGTACTTGATGAGGGTGTGGTTGCCAGACATACTTTTTTTTCTGTCGTTGGGCTTTTTTGTTTTTTTTTACATCGCTATTTTCGCTTCTTTTCCTCTGTAAAGCTTGTTTCCTACGTTATTTTCCCCGCATTTTGCAGTTGGTGTGTAGTAGCACAGCGCTGATTTTATAAAAGTATTAGAAACACGATGAATCTGACGGTAGATGGTTTCATTGGACTCGATATTTGTGGCGGGAGGAAGGCGTTTTTCTTTCTTCCGCACGCAAGCGTGGTCGTTCATCTTTTATTCTCTCAAACAGCCTATTTGCACGTTCACGAAGACTTCAAAGGCGATTCGTTGTAACAAAAATCACCGCAGATTCATCCCACTCTTGATCGGTTGAACCAGTCAAACTGGTTTAACTATTTCGCTTTCAGATTATCTTTGGAGTAATGGAGGGAAGGAGGGGTGTTAGGTGAGTTGTGTGGAAGACAGAGGTCGTCCCTGGAAAAAAAGAAAATAAAAAAGCATATATATATGAAACTAGCCAGGCGACGCAGTAGACTAGGCATCATTTCGACGCAGGGTAGTCCAGGGGGAGAACGAAGGAAAAAAATAATTTAAATGTCAATATTAAAAAAAAAATTATTAGGAGTGTTATTTGGTAATAATAAATTTATTTTCAGTGCACAAAAGCTTCCATAGCGGTCTTCTCTCTGGTGTACGCTATAATCATAAAAAAAAAAAAAAACATAATTACAAAAGAAAACAAGTGAGTAAATTACAAGGTTATTGAATTTATGGTGGTACAATCAGTAAAATAAATGTATAGAAATCGTTGTGAGGAGGAGCGATGATGTTATGTAATGTGACTAATGTCTGAATCCGAGTAATCGGTGAAGTGCAACATGGTGAAGGAACGTCAAAGCACACAGCTAGCATATCTGGTATGACGGAAGTTAACATGAAAGTTTACTTTGCCAAGCAATGGCAGCAAGTCATTGACGCCCACCATTAACACCCGTACGTAAAAACACAAAATCATGACATGTCAGACAAAAGTGTCATCGAACATAATCTTAGTATGAATTCATAAGCATAATAAAGGTGCCTTTCCAAAGATCTGTCATAAACAATACCAATCAGTTTTTTCTGAACATGTTCGATGGTCGTGGCCTGAGTTTTAGATACTAAGTTCCAATTTGATATCATTTCTAACATTCTCGTTGAACTTCCTACCACAAAAGATGCATGATTTCTCAAAGGCAAGGCACTATCAATGAACACGCCAAGAACTTTCAGATAAAATGCACGTTGAATTAGCATGATATCAAGATAAATGGTAAAGTTGAAAGGCACATGACGTCGGCACAAAGATCACACTTCTATTTTTGCAGTATTAAGCAATAAAATATTATGTTCACTCCACTGAAAAATGTAAGACAGATCCCGCTCTAGGTTATCACAGTCCGCGGTAAATTGAATAATTTTAAACAACTTCATACAGTGTTGGGAAGTACTTTAAGTACATTGTACTTAAAGAACTACTTCAAGTAGGTTTAGGAAACTTGTACTTTACTTGAAGTACATTCTCTGAGTAGGTACTTGTACTTTATACTTAAAGTATTTTTTTCTGGTACTTCCCCAGGAAAGTAGAATTGCCGACTTCAAAGTACATTCCGCAAATTTGGTTTTGTTAATTTGGTATCACGAAATGATGCTTTGTCAACTCCAAAGAAATACTGGGAGAGATATTCTACTCTCAACATAACGTGAGCAGACGATGCACCGCTCCGTTTGTTCTGGGGGTGGCTTTCCCGTAGGTTTTTGAACTCTCGCTACTTCTCGGTCGGTCAGCGCAAGCGAGGAGGTTTAAAATATTAGGAGAGCACAATTAATCATAATGTATCACCTGAGACTGTGGTGCGGAAAAATTAAAATTTCAAGTCGAAGAAAAATACAACAGAGGAGAACATCACAATGTTTTGAGACATTCTCTTTGTCTTTTCCTTCGACTTGAAAGTTCCTTAATTTTTTCGCACCCCAATCTCAGGTCAGGTGTCACATTCTGAATAATTATCACCAGCTCACTTGCAAACTCACTGTTTGTTTGTTTGTTTGTTTGTTTTATTAAGGATTGCTTGCGGAAGATACGGGGCTGACGTTCTCACTTAGTATACATATTTAACCCCCATGGGTGGAACAATCCAGTGCAAGCGGCGCAAAATTCAGAAGGGGGACTTCTGAATTTGGCTCCATTCCTGAAAATAACTACACTGTGGCCACTTGACTTTATCAGATGATCGCCCCTGCTTTTGAAAATAGGTCATACACCTGGGCAATGCATACCAGTTAAAAAATCACTGTATAGGGGAAATAAAGGGCATCATGAAAGATCATGTTAAAATACTTGCACTTTACTTTGAAAGTAAATTGTATTTATAGCACTTTACTTCAAGTACATTGCATCCAGTGTACTTGCTACTTTACTTGAAGTACATGACGTCTCATTTACTTTCTACTTTACTTGAAGTACCTTTTAGATGTACTTTACCCAACACTGGCTTTATATCATCGGCACAAAGTAACAACTCAGAACTTTGGACACAAAACGCTATATCATTTACAAAAATTAAAAAGAAAAGAGGGCCCAGGATGGATCTCTTGGGAACACCAGGCGTTGATAAATAACTCTGGGAATAACTGTAAGCAACTCGAACAGAGTTCGATCGCAGTGACAGGTAACTCTCGAACCATGTAGATAACTCCGGAGATAAACCGTACAGAAGCAACTTATGCAAGAGTAATTTATGACTGACCTTGTCAAAAGCTTTGATCATATCAAAGTAGATTTAATCAACTTGTCCCCCAGTTGTAACAGCTGGGGATCTAAAAAAGTACATAAATTGGTCTGGACAGACCGACCAGTCAGGAAACCATACTGCAAAGGGGTTAATTGTTTACGAAAATAAAATGACAACCGGGTATGTACAACAATCTCGAAGAGCTTAGAAAAACCCACAAGGCAGGAGAGCAGGTCGATAATTCGTAACAACCGAGGTGGCTAATCAATAGCTAAGCTGAAATTATTAATATATTTAATTTGGGATGTGCACCGATTACGAATTGTAATATATTAACAGTATTTCTTAATCGGTTAGCTAAGCGGACTAATGAGGAGGCTGATAAAAACCATTAAAGAATTGCGAAATCATAAATATAGCAGGGCGTTTCCATGCATCGGATCGTGCGATGATAGTCCGGGTCACAATATTTATATTTGTGTAAAAAAAAATATATGTTAATGCTAAGTTCTTGGGAGGAGCATTAAGGTATATGCGAACGGTGCAGCTATAGTTGTCTTCCGGAGATATGGAATTTTGAAGCCCGAAGAGTGGAGATTGCCGGTGTTTCACTATGCATGGTACTCTGAGCAGCAGTCAATTTCACGCCGAAGCATAAACGTAATATATATTATGAAAGGTTTAGAGAATGTACACAGAATATAAAAAAAATGACAATAAAAAATTTCTATGCAAAGGAAAAAAAATTACGGTGCATGTCAAATACACGTTTTAGGGACAGAATCGCAAATTATATTGTTTTATGCGTAGCTCCTCTCTTCACGAGAGCCTGCGTTTGAGATTATTATTTTCCATTTTTATCGCTGGGGTGGGGCTAGGAAACGACGCAAAATATATCAAAATGATCGTATTTAAATGCATTTCACAAATATATAAGAATGTGTACCCATTGTTGTTGTTCCGTTGTTCATGCAGAAACGCGGCTCATTTCTCTAAATGGCAAAAAAATTTCACGTCAATATTTAAGAAAGAAAGCTGCACTCGTTATTTTCTTGAAATTCTCCTTCACCGTTTACAGTGACTTGAACTTACTCGGTGTGCCAAAATATTGAGTATCATAAGGACAATAAACCTTCACTCAAATTGGGCTAGCTTTGTACTCGTTATAGCGGCTTTCCCGCACGGACTTCGGCTCCAAGTAGGCATCTTTTTACAACCGACAAAAAGGCTGTACAGCGGTGCTACTTTATAGTAGGGTATACAATGTCAGTTAACTAACACCGAGAGAGGGAGCAACTATTCTTTGCCTGTAAGGTGTGTCCAAAAAGAGATGGTTTAACCCTAAAATCGATGCCAATGAAAGAAGACAAATAAATCGAAATAGCTTTGTGGGAATCTAGCGAACTGCTAAAGAACCAAATGGGAAGTAATAATGCATCTGTAATAAGCTCAAAAAGTACTAACAAAGTATTTCCCCATGAATTCATCCGACATGCTGAGCGGCTTTCTCTAAGCTCAGAAAAGTTGCATCTCAAAGCTCGCACCATCGTATTGCATTTTGATTTGGGTTCATATCACTTGAGCGAATGATGTTTTAGCGAATAACGGGCGCGCGTGTTCCCCCGCCCCGGGCTGCGCATTACAAAAAATGTTATCCCACTTGGCCCACCTGTAACGCCGCTTGGCGGCGGCCAACTATTCGCTGAAGTGTCATTCGGTGAAGCGTCGGCATTCGCTAAAACGTCATTCGATCAAGTGAGTGCCTCCCTTCACATCTAAGTGAAGGGGGGAGGGGAGGCTTAGTGATTGCAAAAATAGGTTTCATCTGTACGAGATGGCGAAGAGACAAGAGGTAACCAAATTGATTTTTGTTTTAGGCTGCGGGAAACGGCAAAAGTGCGTGTAAAGGTGTGGGAAGAGTCCCCAAGCACCACGCCTTCTTGCCCAACCTCAGGTCGTCAGAACTGGAAACTATTGGAAGTGCCGATGATTTTGCTCGTCTAGTGGCC